GAAGAGAGAGAAAAGAGAGAAGAGAGAGGAGAGAGAGAAAAGAGAGAGAAGAGAGAGGAGAGAGAAAAGAGAGAGAAGAGAGAGAAAAGAGAGAAAAGAGAGAGAAGAGAGAGAAAAGAGAGAAAAGAGAGAAGGAGAAAAGATGCGCACTTTTGCGGAGATCGCCTTTGGCAGCGCTGCTAAGGGAGGAGCTACAGTAAAAGTACCGCGGCCTGCACCGGTGAAGGTCAGGTGTCAGACAGGAGAGAGAAAGAGAGGGAGAGGGAAAAGGAAAGAAGAAAGAAAGCGACTGGGAGGGAGAGCAGTCGGCACAAAGCCGACACCAGCACGACATACAGGTCTTTGATGAGAGAACGAGCACGGAGCTTGGCCATGGTGTCGTCGTAGGACACCTGTTGCAGGGCTCCGCCCGGCCCGGCCGCCGGCGACTGGTACGCATGCCCGCCGGGGGAGTGCTCCGCATGGCCATTCCCTCGAGCCGCCGGTGTCGGAGCCAGGGAGGAGGATGAGCCGTGGTGGCCGCTGGCCGGGCCCGATCGCGACACCGCCTGGGTGAAGGCAAACTGCGACGAGGGGATCGGGTCGAGGAAATCGAAATCATCCTCCGCCAGGTGCGTCGAGTAGTCGGAATCCGAGTCCAACAGGCCGGCCAGCGAGTCGGAGGACCCGCCCCCGGCAGGGGGAGACGCCCCGGCGCTGCTGGCACCCAGGTGCGATGGCGCCCGGCGCCCGGCCGAGCCCGCCGGCTGTCGCCGAACCAGCGCCGACAGCGCCAGCGGCGCGGTGTCCTCCTCCGGGCCGGCCGCAGGCTCCGGCCCCAGGGCCAGCATCTCATTCAGGGCCCGATCCACCTCGGCCGTGTCGGTGGCCGGGGGAAAGGCCGACCCCCGGGGCTCGGCGCTCGAAAGGCCGGCCCAATGCTGGGGACCCGGGTTCAGTGGCCGGCCAAGGGCCGCCTGGAAGAAGGTCTGCTCCTGGGTCGAAGCGAAGGCCGGTCGGAGGATGATGTCATCGCGATGAAGCTCCTCATAGTACTGCGTGGAGTCGCGAATGTCGTCCTGGTCCTCGTCGGCGCCGGCGACCGAGCGCGACCGCCCAAGGCGTGGCGTCGGAGGCAGCAGCCCCCCCTCCCAATGGTCGTGGTGCCCGAGGGCCGTCAAGGGCGCCGGCAACGGCGCAGCCGAGGGAGAAGACAGCGAAGTGGCCGCCTTGGAGGATGTCGGCGTCAGCAGCAGGGAGGAGACCGCCGAACCGGCGGCCGACAGCGCCCCGGCCGGCTCGTAGCCCGACAGCGACTGCCGCGGATCAAAGCCAGCCGGAAAGGAGAGGTCCGCCAGGCGCCGGCCCCGCTGCTCACAGGCCTCCAGCCAGCAGGGGTGGACCAGGGTCAGGCGCCGGCGCCGGGCCTCGGCCAAGGCCTCCTGATCGCGCCAGGCCCGGCGCAGATCGACCTCCGTGAGGCCGGGGCTGGCCCCGGCGACGGTGCTGGCACGCTGCGGGCCGGGCGCCGCGGCGCTGGCCGCCGCCCGCAGCACCAGCCCAAAGAGGGCCGACCGGTGTGCCACATCCTCCGGCCGCACGGGCCCCTTGAAGACCGACAGGTCAAAGTGCAGGTAGTGCGTGGCCTGGGCCGCGGTGGCCGAGGGGAGGATCGTGGCCCCGAGGTCGGTGGCCAGCTCGCGCAGCACATCGGCCGCCGGGCGCAAGCGCGGGCCCAAAACCAGGCCCACGCCACGCAGGGGCCCCCCCGCCGGCTGGTCGCCCAGGGACATGCCCACGCCCCGGGGCACCGGCGGCATGTCCAGATCGCCGGGCCCCGGCGTGGGCGACAGCAGCGACCGCGAGAGGAGCCCCAAATCCCCGGCACCCAGGTCGAAGGTGGGGGCCAGCAGGGATGCCGGCCCGGCGCCGCCCGTCGGGGTAGTCGGCACGCCGCGGGCCCCGGCCGGAAGACGCCGCGCCCGCAACGAAGACCCCGCCGCTCGGACGCGCAGGCGCCCGGCTGGACCGCCGCCGCCCGGGGTTGCCGGGCCCTCGTCGGCCATCAGCATGAGAGACGATGCGGTGGCATTCACGGCGGCGGCGGCCGCCTGGACCTCGGCATCGGCGCGCTCGCGTCGTGCGGCCTCGGCCGCGGCCCGAGCGGCCGGCGGCACGGCCCCGGCATGCCCATACCGACGAATGTGCCGGCCGGAGGCGTCATTCCAGTCCCCGGGATCCGGGTCGCCCCCCTGCAGGACACACACCAGCCAGCCGGGGGCCACGCACACCGGGCCGTCCGTTGCGCCGGCCGCGCGCCCGGGGCCCAAGGATCCCCGACCCCCGGCACCGGCCCCCAAAGCCGCGAGCTCCTCCAACGACCCGAAGGACGCCCCGGAGGAGAGCATCATCGACCCGGTCAGCACCGACTGCCCATGGGGGAAGGCGTCATACAGGTCGTCGAAGAGCTCCCCGGCCTCCGGCCCGACGGCCGGCAGACCGGCCGCCTCGCGCGCACTGGCCAGGGTCTCCACATCGGTCGGGCCCAGCAGCAGATGCCCGACCGCCGCGTCGGACAGGCGAACCACCGACCGGCCAAAGGGCCCGGCACCGGCCGCACCCGAGGAGAGCCCGCCGTCGGCGGTCGCGGCCCCGGGCAGCCGGGCCTCCGGCACGAGGATGTGCGTCGGGCGTTGGCCCGGGGCCTGGCAGCGAACCGCCGACGAGGCATTCAGCCCCTGCACCAGGAGATTACGCTCGGCCGAGGAAAAGCCCTCCGACAGGAGCACCCGCGCGCCCTCCAGCATCCCGAGCACCCATGACCCGGGGTCGCCCGAGAGAAAGGCACAATCCGCCGGGGCAATGGCCTCCGGGCGTGGGAGATCCGCCATGTCGGCCGCCGGGGAGCCGGCCGCCGGGGCATCCGGCCCCGGTCCGGATGCCACGGCGGCGGCGGGGGCCGGGGCCGGGGCCGGGGCCGGGGCCGGGGCCGGGGCGGCGACGCGCGGCCCGGCCGATGGCAGGCCCCCCGCCGTCATGGCCGGTGGCATGGCCACCGGCGAGCCGGCCGAGTTGGACAAGCCTGGCACCGAGGGGGGCACGGGCTGGGCCCGGGCCCGGCGCGATCCGGGTGTCCGGCCGGAGGACGACTGGTGGTCCGGCCCCCGGCCGGGCTGGGGAACACGCAGCATGTGCTGGCTGTCATCCACCAGCAGCGACATGGGCAGCTGCTGCGGCAGGGCGCGGAAAACCGCCGCCGGGAAGCGCATGGCAAAGTCCCCGACAGGCAGGCCGCACAGCTCGATGGCCCACTTGCGGCTCACCAGCCGCGCATATGGGAAGGCTTCCCACAGGCGGCGCAGGCGCAGGCGGCCAAGGTCCTCGCTGCCCGGGCCGCCGGGGCTGCCGGGGGCTTGACTGCCGCCGGCCGCGTCGCGGCTGTCCAGCCGGTGCAGGACCACCAGGTACGCCGGGCAGAGCACCGCCTGGCCGAGGTTCACCTCGTCCATGCGCCGGGCATACTCCTCGAAAAGGTGCCCCCGGAGCCGGGCCAGGGTGGCGGCCGCCGAGGCCAGGGTCCCCCGGTCCAGCTGGGCCAGCAGCCGGATTGTCGAGTCCACCGAGCAGAGAGCCGGCGCCTGGACCAGCCCCCCGGCGGCCGGGGCCCCCGGCCCGTGGAGGGCCCTGCCCAAGGCCCGGATGTGCCGCTCCACCGAGTGGCGGAAGCGGGCAAGCCGCGCGACCTTGTCGGCCCCGAGCCCGGGGATCGCGCCGGCATCCACGGCGCCGGTGCCCTGGCCGGGGGCCGCCTCCCCGGCGACGAAAGACACCAGGCCGATGGAGCTGCGCCAATCGATGGCCCCGGCCCCCGGCGGTGGCAGGGGAGCCGGCGCCAAAAAGCGCCGGGCCGAGGCCACGGCCATATCCGCCAGGCGGGGGGCCACTGCCTGGCGCACACGCTGCAGGCGCAGCAGCTCCGGCGGCGGGGTCGAAAGCCCGGCCGCCAGGGGGAAGGCCATCTGGTCGGCGGTCGTGGCCTCCGGCCCGAACAGCGGCGGGGTGACATTGTGGGACTTGCACTCCAGGGCCATGGTCTTTTCCAGGTGGTCAACCCACCTGGGCCACGCAGCAGGCCGAGCGGGTCAGAATCCAACCGACAGCAAGACCCGGCAGGGAGGGCCGGGGGGGGGGGGGGGGGGGGGGGGGGCGGGCAGGGCGCGGGTCAGCGAGCGGGACACCGAGGGGCCCCGAGAGATGAAATGGAGCCGGGGAGGGGCGCCCACAGGCCGGCGACCGCGGGGAGGGCTAGGCAGGTCCAGGGCGCTCTCGCGCTGCTGGGTCAGCATCGAGTTCACACTCTGCTTGGAGGTCAGCGGAAAGGCGCTCGCTTGAGATGCCGCCTGGGCGCCATGAGGCGGAGGGGGTACAAGTTCGCACGGAAGGCAAGCAAACGGGCACATGGCAGGGGGAAGGCCCCAACACCAGGCAGGACCTAAGGACCCCCTTCTTTTCCGGCCATTTGGACGGCTGACCAGATGGGCGATTCCACGAGCAATCCCAGGGTCAAAGCGTCAGAAGAGGGGGAGGGGAGTCCGGCACAAGTGGGACAGGCGGAGGGGAGGGGGGGGGGGGGGGGGGGGAGAGAGGGAGGGAGGGAGGAAAGCATGGCCATCGGCAGCGTACTGAATGGTGACGATCGGGATGTTCCACCGGTGCGCGGTCAGGAGCTTGAGCGGAGGCCCGGGGGCAGGGGCCGCGCCTGGGCCGTCGGCGCCGGCCGGCCCCGGGCGCTGGGATTGCGAATACCCGCCATCCGGATCGCCGGGGCCCGGGCCGGCGGCGATCAGGAACCCCGCCTCCAGGGGGTTGAAGTGCGGAGTGACGCCAATCCCAAGGCGCTGCAGGCGCCGTGTGAGCAGCTCACGCTCAGCCCGCGAGAACCCCGTGGTCGAGACAACAATCCGCGTTGCGGGCAGGCTGTCCGTCATGACGACGGAGGCATCGCTTTCGTTCGGGAAATGGCGCAGGTAGGGCGGAGAGGGGAGAGAGGAGGGGGAGAGGGCACAGGACAGGGGCGGGGGGAGGGAGGGGGGGGGGAGGTGGTTGGAGAGCGATGTCGCCGCTCGAGCAGAGGCTCCCCGAGGCCGGGACGCGCCGCGCCTTATGGCCGTTGGCCCGGCGAACACGCCCCGGCCTCGTCCCCCCCCGGCCTGTCTCTGGGGTTCAAAACGGACGGCAGACTCGCCTCGAACGATCGCAGGGGCCCGGCGTCCGAGCCGGGCGTCCCCCCCCCCCCCCCCGCCCTCCACCGCACGAAAGAGGCGGGACGCGCTGTGCCGCGGGGCGGGCCAGGTGGGGGATGTGCCCACGGACGTGTGAGACGAGGGGCGCCACCATCGCCATGGATCGGCCGGGGTCCCCGTCGGGGGCGAGGTAGGCGGGACGGGGGGGCGGGCCGCCGTTGCCGCCCGGTGGAACGCCCGGGCCCGCGCCGCATGCGTGGGGTGGCGGTGGTGGCCCCATCTAGGGGGAAGAGCGGGGCAACTTTTGGGTGATTGTGTCATGATGCTGCCCTTGTCCTTGTCCTTGTCTCGCTCACGACCTCGCCCTCGCCCTCGCCCTCGCCCTCGCCCTCGCCCTTGGTCTGCCCCGGCCTTTCACAGCCCCGGATGTCCCCTTCAGGCGGGTGTATGTGTTGTCTATATTGGGTGGCGCCGGCACATGGCTCGGGCCCCATCGCCTCCGGGCCCCGGCGGCGCACATCGGGGGTCCCCCCTCCACGGGGGGCGCACTAGAAGGATGATGGTCCCGGGGGCGGCGGGCAGAACCCCCCATGCGTGAGTGGGCTGACCCCTCCCCCGAGCGGCGGCCGGACGATGAAGCCGTCCGTGGATCGGGGCGGCCGCGGCGGGATGTTCGTGGCCATGGCGGTGGCCCCGGCAGCCGGCGCCGGGCCGCGGTGGGTCAGACCGGCGTTGCCGCGCGGTGGGATGGGCGGCGATGCGGCGACAGCGCCCTCCTTCTCCAGGGGGGCCTGCTGCTGCTGCTGCTGCTCCTGGCCGCTGGCCGATTGGCGAGCGCGCCGGTGGGCGGCCACCGGGTCATCGGCCGGCCCCTGGCCCTGGACCACCATGACCGTGGCGTAGATGATGGCCGCCGCCGGGACACATGCCCCGAAGATGAGCATGACAATGAAGCCGTTGCGCGTTTGGCGGATGTACCGCCGGCAGGCCTCGATCGAGGCGCTGGCGGCCGTGGCAATGCCATCACCCGCCAGGCGCGGCACGGCCGACGCATCCAAGGCCAGGATGTCCTCCGGCACGCGCGGGAAGGCCAGCCGCGGCAGGAGCGCCGCGAAGTCCACCTGACTCAGGCCGGCCAGGACCCGCTTGATGGTGTCGATGGTGCAGGAGATCGGCAGGAAGACCGACGCGCCATTTTGCTTCCACGTCTTGTCGATCAGGTCCAGGGCATCCAGCACCGGGCCCGGGGACAGCTCCACCGGGCCGGCATTGCTCAGCCGGGTGTACGCTGCCAGGGCATTCTCGATGCCGGCGATTTGGGCATTGGCCCGGCCGGCGGCCGCGGCCGACGCCTCCATGGTCACCTGTAGCAGCCCCTGCGACGCGGCCTCCAGCGAGGCGGTCATGGCCGGGACCACCTGCTCGATGAAGCTATCCTCGGCCCGGTGCAGGCCGAAGAGCACCAGCGCACAGATGACCACCCCGATGAGGCCGATCAGCAGCATGGTCAGCGAGGGGGGGTGATGGGCCACGGCCAGGAAGTGCCGGATCCAGGTCCAAGTGGCGGCGATGGCGCGCGACCACCAGCTCTTGTCGGGCCATGGGCCCGGCTGGCCGGCCGGCCGGTCGCCATCCCGGCCCCGGCCACGAAGGGCACTCAGCCAGAGAACGCGATTCCACCGGTAGGAAGAGTAGGCACTGAGCCCGGCCCCGGTGGCGTACATGACCGCCAGGCAGATGAGCACCGCGGTGCCGATGTCCACCACCATGCGCGCAAAGCGGAACACCTCGTCCAGGGGCCGGTAGTCCACCCGCGCGCAGAAGCTCAACACGTCGTCGGCCCGGGCCAGGGCCTCGCGCATGCTGGCCGCCGCGTCCAGCGGCCGAGACCCGGCCGGCAGCCGGAGGTGATCCAATGTGGGCCGCGCCCCGGCGGCCACCTCGCGCAGGGCCTCCATCCCGCGGGTGATTTGCCGCTGGACGGTGTCGCCCACCAGCGACCCCGGGGCCGGGACCTGGGCCAGGGCCGCCAGCACCGGGCCTCGCACATCCACATCCTCCAATTGGGGGAAGGTCGGTCGCCGGGGGGCCGGCGGCAGCATCAGCGCCGGGGCATTCAGCCCGGGGAAGGTCCGCGCCAGGCCATCCAGCAGGTCATTCCACTGGCGCACCACGCCCTGGGTCAACTGGTCGAAGGCCGACAGGATGCTGGAGGTGATGTTTTCCGCGGCTCGAAGGGCACTGCGTGCCAGCAGCACCGACCCGTCGGCCACCAGCTGCGCGGCATCCGCCTGGCCGGCTGCCAGGGTCAGCAGGCTCTCCAGCTGCTGGTCCACCGAGCAGGTCATCCCCCGGACCAGCATCTCGGTGGAGGCTTCCAGCGCGTCGACCGCCCCGGAGGTGGCCCCGGCTGCCGCGGCCTCCAGCAGCCCGGCCCCGGCATTGGTGGCCGACACCAGGGCCTCGTCGATGGCCTGGGCCGCGCGCTCCGGCAGGGCCACCGCCCCGCGCAGGGTGTCCTCCGCCAGCATGCATGCCCCGTGCGCGGCGGAGCGCGTTCGTTCGTGCATCTGCTCCAGGTACCCGCTCAGGGAGTAGGTATAGCTGGCGGCGATGCCGAGCCCCAAGACCGTCAGGCAGAAGGCCGCGCGGAAGAAGATGATCAGCCCCGCCAGCCGGGAGGTCTTGGACCGTTTGTCTGCCCCGCGCGCCGGGAGGGGTGCAAAAAAAAAAGAGCGAAAGCAAAACCACCGCGTTAGTTGGGGGCAGGGGCGAGGCATCTTCAAGCCGCCGGCCGGGGGCCGTCCTTTTGGCGGCACGTACAGGCTTGCTTTTGGCCCATCCTTGACTGTCGAAGGGGTGGGCGTATCTGTGTGTGTCCTTGTGTGTGTGTGTGTGTGCGTGTCCTTGTTTGTGTGTGTATCGATGGTGCGGGGCGAGCTCGCGGCGCGCGGGACCTCTTCTGGCCAGATGACTCGTCGCACGGCGTCGGCAATCGGGTCGGAGAGAAGGGGTCGCGAGAGGCGGGACAGCGGGGCGGAGGCAAGGGGCGAGGGCCCAAGTCAAGGAGTGTGGGATGAGAAAGGCGGCTCTGTCAGAAGGTGGTGTGTGTGTGTGTGTGTGTGTGTGTGTGTGTGCGGAGATGCAACAGAGGGAGGGGTATTGCCTGCCCGGGGCGAGGAGGCGCCCACGGGCTCCCTCTTCTGCCGCTATCTTCGGTCCGGCCCTCGTCCCCTCCGTCGAAGGCCTTCGCGGGGAACACCACCATGGCCGCCGGCCTCAGCCGGGAGGCTGTGCTGTGTGTCGGGCAGCGACCTTTCCGACCGCGGGCAAAAGCGCAAGCGGGTCCATTCCCCGGGGGCTGCCGTCGCAGGTCCGATCCAAAGGTGATGGAGTCTGGGCCACCGCCAAAGGGCACCGGCAGGCAAAAACCACGGAGCATGCCCCCCGGGCACCGCCTTGGCAAATGATTGCCCGCGCCCGGCTCGGCGATCTCGAGCACCGGCCTCGCGTCTTTCGGCCCCGCAGGAGGAGAAGGGACGCGGGAGAAAAAAAAAGGAACCATCCCCTGCCACGGGGGTCCTCACCCGCGATCTACGAGATCTGGCCAAAGGCCCCCCCCCCCCCCCCGCCCTGGCAACCACGCACACATACAAGCAGGCATCCACCCAACTCTGGCCGATTGCAGGCATCAAAAACAACAGACCGAGGCCGCCCGCGCGCATTCCTGCCGCGTCTACTGACAGAGACGCGCCCGGGGCCGTGGGCCTCTACTAATACCCGCGGGAGTAAACAAACCCGCACGCAGTGCAGATCGTCGCGGGCCCCCTGGCCGGCCTTCGGGGCGCGGGTGGCGGGATGCCCCGATCGGGGCGCGCCCCTCGTTCCCCCGCGGCCGGCCCCGACGGAGTCTCGGACCCCGACGGTACGAGGGCCCCGGAGCACGGGGATGCTCGTAGGGGTGTATCACATGGGCGGAATACTATTCAGCACGAATAAGAGAACCGTTCTTCAATGGAAGCACCGCCCGAGCCGCCCGCGCGGGTTGGCCATGCGATCTCCCGCCATTTCTCCGGCTCCCTCCGGACCGGAGCGACCGGTATCAGGTCATTCGGCCGGCCCGAGGCCCAGTCCCTCGGCGCCGCCTGCCTCCCCCCCCCCCTCCCGAGCACGGCCGCGCCAGGGCGCTGGTGTGTCCTCGGACCCGGCGCTGAGGGTGATCCCCCCCCCCCCGCAGGGAAGACACACTCGCATCATGCACGGACGCACCGGGGGAATGCATGCCCTGTCGCGCACCGCGCGGCCCGCACCGGCTGCCGGACGCCGGCGCCCCACCACGACTCGAGCGTCAGGCTCGGCACTGTGGCGCCCACACACCGCCGACATCGAGCAGCCGGCTGAAGGACCCACCGCCGGGACTTGGGGGAAGGGCGGGGGGGGGGGGGGGCGGAGGACAGACGCGCGGAGGGTACAACTCGAGCCATCTCCCCGGTCAGGCTCGCCGGCCCCCTCGCCACCAAGACCCTCCTCCCCCCACGCTCGAAAGGTATCCCCATCGCCCCGCCCCCTCCCTCCCCCCCCCCT